CTCCTAAGTCTTTATGTTCTTGAACGCATGGAAGAGGTTTACCATTAATGATAACTAAAGTAATTGCATCATTATCCACGTCAGGAGTAATTAATATCTCGCATCGTGTTTTCCTTTGTCACTTCATTTGCACCTTAGTGCGATATCAACTGTTTCAAAAAGCGCTTAAGTGTTCATAAAACTGCATGTATTCACTTTGCTCAACAGTTTCAGTTTCAAAAAGACAGGAGGCTTGATGGCCTGACTGATAGTTTTATAGTTAAAACCCACTGAATTTGTTTTCAGTGCTACATTTTCAAACTCGTAGCTTCACGAATTGCTGCTAATGTTTTTAAATGCATTCAGTTGAATACTGACTGTTTCCGTCCTCAACTAACTTGTCTTACCCTTCATTTTCATTTTTTTTATGAATGATTAATTATCAGTTACGTTAACCTCGCAAGTCAGTGCCAGGTGGAGGACATTATGAATGCATGAATAGATTTCGTTTCTAACGTTTCTGTGTAAACGTGTATATCTACTGAAGGAACGACGCAGTCAAAGTAATTAATGGTATCTATACTTATGATCAATGTTTAGTGGTATGATGAGTGTTGTAATCACACTACCTTGCATTCAAGATATTTATATTTCATACAAACATTCAAAGTATATTTTGCTTGTTTCTATAAAATTTTCACGAATGGATACTTCCTAAAAAAACTGATCAAAGGTTGTAGTATACAAGAAACCAATAAGTGAATTCTCGGTTTCCTCTTTTTAGGATTTTTATCGGTGGTTTAGGTGAAAATATCCAGATCAGCATGTGCAGGTTTCGAAAGCGTATTTTCTTAGGGCTTGTTTATTGAATATATACTATGTTTTCGTCAATTTTGCTCTCTTTATTGTTCTTTTCAGAATCTGCGTTACTGGGTTCCTGTAAATTTCTGTGGTTTCCATCATTTTCAGTTAATATTAATTAGTTCCCTAAAAAGACTATATTACAATCCAATGCACTTGTAATTTATGAAAATGGATCATGAATCTGGACATCTTAAAGTGCCTTTTTCATTGTTATCACCTGTATATTTGGAAGGAAAGAATTTAGTGAAAAACAAACTTTTAGATGAACCTTTCACTAAAACTTCATCAGCTTCCAATACACTTTCTTCGCTCTCATTAAATAACAAATCATTAAAATCATCCATCAGTCTATCATACACTGGTTCAGTCCTACATTGTGATCACGAAGTAACAGTCAGACCTAATGATAAGCATCATGTGGAGAAAAGAACAAGTGTTCCAAGTTCACTTAAATCAACTCCTATCGACTGGTTAAACGACGCTATAATCAAAATTTCAGATACTAGTTTTCAAAATATACTAGAATGTACGGTTGATGATTCTATGAAAAGCAATTCTATTCATAATACATTTGGTAATTTACTGACATACGAACGCAGAGATACCTACAAACAGCTGAAAGTATGTGATTATACATTATTTAATGTATTCAAATTTGCAGCTAGAGTTAATTAGCTGCATATCCTCCTCTATAGTCGATGGCAGTCCATCTAAAGAAAAGAAAATTGTTTTGGGACAATCAATTCACTCTTGTATTGATAAAGATCCAGAATTTATACTTAAAGTACTTTATACATTTTTAAGAAACGTTAGATTTTAGGCAGCTTTGTATTGCCGTAGAGAGTTGAATATACGTACAACAACCAATATGTTAATAGCTGTTGCTAGCTGTAATGAGCGGTCTCGATCTTTTATTAAGAAGTACTTTTCTTCTTGTATTCGCACACCGTCAGACTGGATAGAGGTTGCCGAATACTATGCAGTAAGTTCGAAAAATGTAATAATCTCTTTAAAGATGATAAGTGGCAATCCAAGTTTGAAAGGTATGCCAAAAGTCTTACGGAATAGTATGACATCAAAGTTCCTTGAATTTGATCAGTACCAACTTGGTAAGATGAGCTTCTATTTGTTACATTAACTTTAACAGCTAAACATTCCAAACACAGAGCAAGAGCTAATCGTTCAAAGAAATCGAAGGTAATTCGTTGTTTATTGGTTTGTGATCTTCCTTAGGCTCTGAAAAGAAGCCAAAATGGTGTAGTAGTCAGTACGGATATCGATGCCATTATATATAGATTGGCACACTCACCTCGTATATATTTTACAATAAAGGAGCTTATTCGTAGATTGCATATATCAAGGCCCAAGTTCAACGTTATGTGCGTTCTGGGAAAACCTTACCCATCGGATAGTACTGATTTTATTCGTATGGGACTGGAAGGAGATTGGGATTCATCCAAAGCAGGTACACGTATGAAGTTTCCTATTCCTGTTACATGGGAAACAGAATTATCAGTCAATGGAAACAATTCAGATTCTTGGTCAAAACTTATAAGTAAGTTCCGTAGTATGTTGAATATTTTTAGCACCTTGTAGAAAAACATAATAAAAAAACAACTCAAAAGTAGTCTTGGTTTTTATCGTAGTGTTGTTACATCCAGAAAAATAGCATTTATCTAATCATTACATACTGATCGATGTCATACACGACTGCAGAATCACCCAGTTTAGTCTTCTATGAGTGAAAAATTCGCTAATAAGTATTCTAAATATTCATGCTACTAATGTTTCCCATTCTACGCATTTTTGTTGATAAATCGTTAGCATCTGAACAATAGTAATAAATATAATGTGAATCATATTTCAAGTACACTTCTATGAACTTAGATTTAAGGTACGCTTTCGGCATGTGGTCTGTAGATACTATTTATTTGTATAAACTGAAGCATGAAAACATCGAAATTCCTCCATTATATTTTGCATTGTCACATATAATATGATTTAGTTGTGATAACATTTTAATCATTTGAGTTAGTTTAGATCGAATCGTTCATTGACTAATGTATGCTTTTCCTGTCTAAGTTTACACTTCATTCCAGTTGTGTTAGGTTTCGTGCATTTTTCCACAATCATCAAGATATAAAATCAAGTGGTGTATGACTTTGTCTTAAAACTGGTTCACCTTAGCTGTAGTTTAAACAGTGTTAACAATAATTTGACCTATAATCTTCCCACTTTTGAGTTAACCATTTATTTCATTTGGTGTATCTGTATGATTGCATATTAAAATACATTGTATTTTATAAATTAACTTTTATTAACTATCATAGCTTTAAACAAAGTCCCACATATGGCGATGTTAAGAAATCTGCGCAATATTCTGATGTCCGGTATTCAAGATAGTATTCATGAGATAGTCTTAAAGAGGCTTACAGATCCTGTAAGTGATTTTATTATTTTAATCTTGTGTTTTACAACAGATTCTCGCATTGTTTCTTTCTAATCACGCAATATGACGATTATTATTCTATAAAAAGCGTCTGTTTACCATAGACAGAATCAGAATGAATTGACTGATGTGGTACTTGGTCAGTTGTTATATATGAGGGTGAATTTTATCTCAAAACAGTAAATTTCATACTGTAACAAAAAAGTTTTATTTAGGACTGTCGGCCAGCTATCTCTATCTTTTAAAACAATATTAAGTTATTAGTGAGTGTTTTATTAACGTCATTGTTATTACTAGCTCATCAGCTAGGTACAGGTTGGTACACTCGATTTACAACTAGATTTCAAGTGTGACCCAGTGATATTATTAATCGTTTGCTCAGATTGAAGTTGGTAGGTTGACGTTCGGAAAAATGACTTCGTGACCAAAAGTAGAGTGCTCAGTTGACTGATTCACCCTAATAATAATGCTTACTGAACATTTATGCATCTTTTTGAACAAAATTGTTTACCGTTTTGGGTGAGGAGTTGAAAAAATATCCTGAAAATTTAATGAATGTCATCACGGTGGTTAGGTTCTGTCAGTCGGTTAATTGTAAACAGCATAGGATCTAGTACAATTGTGTACATTGATACAAATCGTCACACTACACATAACGAAATGAAGACAGGGAGACAGATGGAATAAGTTAGCAAGATGATCAGCAAAGTTTGGGATATAATAATAATTATCATTTGAATATAGAAATCTAAAAACGAAAGATGGATAGTTTGAGAGGGAAGAATGAAATTGAAGAATGTGGAACAATACAAATCTTATGATTTAGAGGTAGATACAGAATGAACTCTTGAACCAAATCATTCGTTTTCTGTGATCAAGTCCCTGGTTTTTACATTGTTCTCATCAGAAACCAAATTATGTTGAATAATGTATAATTTCAGTTTTTATCATAGTCACTAAATCCAACAAAAAATAGTATATTTCCTGTTGTTTTTTAAATGCCTACAGCGTATTATTATAGAAGGGAAGCAGTTTCCGTTCCGTTATTTCTCGGCTTTTGATACTCTTGAAAAGTGTGAACGCAGATTAACTTTTCAACAATCTGTATACCGTATCGAACGTAAGTAATGATTAATGTTTTTTTCAGAGTGCAAATCTAGGTTAGTCAACCTTTTTTAAATGAGTATATGATTATGCTCAAATATCGGTAAATATTTTGAAACTTTACTTTCGAGTTCATTTCTATTAGTTATTTGGATCCCATTGCACAAGTTAGTGGCTATCTGAACTTAGTAGCTAGGTGGATAACTCGACAGCGTTTGGAGTGAATGGTACTGGGTTCAAGCCCAGTAGTGAACATCAACTCGAGGATGCAGGTACATCCATCTAACGAATCGCAAGGAGGACGAAACATGTGCCATGGATTCCACTGCTAATATTTATTTTCAAGGGTTTTTAAAGTTATCTAGTTGTTAAGCGATAATTTAGTGGATAAGGCGCTCAACGTTTAGTCACTAAATTCCAGGTTCACACTCTGCTTCAGCTACATTGATAGTAACATCATTAGCTTCCACATTTTCAGTGTGGGTCATACCCGAATACCTGGTAGTTAAGTTAATTTACGTATTGCATAGCTGTATTTACGTGATTAAAACATCCCGTCACTGGTTCGGACTCCACCCAACGTAATTTAATTTTGAAAGACAGCTGGCATCACTAATGTTTAAACAAACAAGGGAAGCAGATAAACTCGTACTTAACAACTGTGTTATATCAGAACACGTACCTATGTGACTTTTTGTATTTGAATTGCGATAAGCTGGTAATTGCGTCCTAAATCCCTTGTACATCACTTATTTTCCGTCCTAATTTTACCGAATGTAGTTTAGAATGTTTATAGTTTATGAAATAGATGAGTGTTCTACGTGTTTTGACAATTTTCAACCTTATCAATTTAGGTTTTATCGGATTCACCGTGAAAAGTTACATTATCATTAAAAGTGATTATCCTTTTAAAGCTTCTCGATTACATTCAATTGTAGTCTTCTATATTAATATCATATTAGTTATACTGAATTGATTAAATCCACTCTATATGTTAGAGCATGCCAGCTGATTAACAATTCGTATTGGTTTAGTGGTTAAACGATTCGGCTTACAACTACCTGTCCACTAGCTCGAACCTTATGTCACCTATTTCAGTATTCCACCGCGATAGTACTACTGGCTATCACACAACTAAAGTATGGTTCAAAGCCAAATGTGTAAAACTTGTGTGCTTGTGAAATGTAGTTACATTGTGTGTTGTTTTGTGTCTGTCTCCCATGTGTGCTGTACATGGTATATGGATGTTTATCAACTTTAGTGTATCTACACGACTGTATTTGCATGCATGTCCATTGCTTTTATCTAGTTGGTGCAATATATTATTCTGATATTTTGAAAACACTGTTGAATTATATCATATTGTAATTTTTTGTCGTTCAGTGATTCAGTTATTAAAGTCATTGTATAGAATTGAAGTAAGAAATTTAACATAACGGGAACCCCTATGGGTTCCCGTTATTATTCTTCTTCTTCACTGTAATCTTGTTTATTTAAAAAAACAACTTTGTTTTACTGTTCTCACAGCTATACAAGTAATGAAACGTAAGAAAAAAACACCTAGGGTATTGAAAAAATCGGAATGGTTAGCGAAACACTTGAGATTGTTTACCGGAAAGTAAGATTTCAGTTTGTATTTTTTGTGATAAGAAATCTCTTGTTTGTTGTACTTCTAATTAAAAGTTTTTATGAGTTTCAATTAGCCTTTTAACAAAAGGTATTGTATTCATCGATTTTCACTGTATTGTATGTCTTTTGCGATAACAAGTATTTATTGATTGAAGTAATATGTGCATTCTAGTAAGCCAAAGTACATTAACATTGAAAATATTCTGTTAGATGATTAGAGTTAGTCAACTACTAACCTATCTTCCGTGCTAGTCAACACATACCAGATGATTGATACTCCATATATGATTCAAATTTGCTTCGATCAGTGTAGCAATCAAAGAGAAAGCCATCAAACTACCTTGGAAGGAAGCATCTGTTCCTCTAATACTGAACATAGGTCTTGATTTTGGGTGTATACAAACATAAATACTAAATTTTGAGGCTTCCTGTCGATCATCACCGAATAGTCAACATTAGACACAGTGTATCGCTATATTGAATCAATTAACCTTGATCAAAAGTTGATCAGGAATGTGGGCTAGACATAAGAAAACTTAGCTTTATAGAAAGCTCTTCTTATGTGATTTCGTTTTGAAATTCAAGTAAGCCTATTATCGGATATTGAATCGTTCTGTAAAATGTTAGTATTTAATGTTTCCAGTCAACATTTTAAACTCATGTCCATTAATTGAAAGATCATTGCTAATGAATCTGTTAATATAAAAATTTTGTTCACTTCTCAACCTTCCATCTGTTGTATTTGTTAATGTGTTATTATCTCTTTCTCACGGTTATAACCCAGCTATTCCTATTGCTTAGTATTCTTGGACACCAAATCACTCGACAAGACCCCAAATCAGAACACGGTTGAACAGGAAAGAGATTATATTCCAAATAACAAGGTTAGATGGAAGCAAGAAGCAAGTAAGAAGCACAATAGGGAAAACGTTAGTATATTTATAGTTTCTACATGAGAAGATTCTAGAGTATTCTCCAAGTATCGACTAGTACTGACTGGATAAGACTTAGCTAATCAGAGTGCACCAAAGCAATCGTGCATTGAGCATGCTATAATCCAGTCTATGTCCCGCTAACATAATGCTTTATGTCTTTCGATTTATTTATAGAGTTTCAGTTGATAGTCAAAAAATTCCATAGTATTCTTTCTTGTGATTGTCAATCACTTGACTAATAATGATTATTATAATTTATAGTACGGTAAATCCAGCACAAAATGCAACTAACAGTATTTAAACTGTAATTTACAAAAGTTTTAAAAAAGATTTTTGGTATCATCATCTACTCATGGTGTTAATTTAAGAGTTAATCAGTCAGTGAGTTCTAAGCAGTATTGAACTTGGCATATACATGAATCAGTCTAAGATATTTCACAATATATGTGCACACAGCAAGATCAAATTATGAAGATAAACACTGAAGTAGCAGCATCAGTAGTATCATTGACATCAGTGTTAGTGATAAGATTAAGCATTAAAAAATGTGATTGGAGAATAAAGAATAAATTTACGTGATAGCAAGTATGAAATTCGTAATCTAAGGATAGACAAAATATGAATAAATTTACTCCATTCCTTGATTTTGGATCATATTAAACAACGTCTTCAATCATTCGACCCAAATTATCGTTATTTTAATGTATGAATTATTTGCCTAAAACATAATATTTTTATTTTATGTATTTGTGTTGTAAAAAGGTGGCTCTTTTGCAATCACAACACTTTGAACCGATATAAAAATGCGTTAAATACCGCTTTAGAATTATCAATGAAGCATAATTTGCCACCAATATGTGGTTCAACATTAATTATATGTTCTACTAGTAAATATGTCAATCCTTCTAAAAATAGATCATCGAAATCTTACGTAAGTAAATTTATTCCCATTAGATTAGTTATATATTCATTCTTTATTCACATCGATTGATCCTAATGTTTTGGATTCTGGATAAAGTTTTATGTTTTTCGTTATTTCTTATTTTCATAATTGAAGTTTTTTTTATCAGTCTGCGTTTACATGAGTGCACTGTCAGTGGGGTGCCTCAGTGTTACCTATAGTTATTATATATTCGTATTGTTGAATGGATATGTATTGGGTGTTACTCATAAGATTGTATGTAGTATGTAGCGGAACGTGGTATCGAAGTTCCCACAGTTGTTAGAC